GTGGATCCAGCCTACGAGTTTTCAGGTAGAGGATTGTAACCGTGTGTCTGCCTGCTACAATCACATCTAAGTGTCTGGAGCTCCATTTCTCAGCTCAAAGCTCTGGGCCCGATCCAAAGCAAAGTTACTGCACCTCTCCTTGACATTGTCACTAATCCGACATAGCCTGAGGCCTCACACTGTCACTTTTTAGTAAGAAATATGGGTGGCAGAGTGTGATGAAAATGAACCAGTTGTAGATAACAATAGGAATCCTGCATCGTCTGTTAGAGTTAAGGTCAGAACTGCTTTTCCGTATTGTGACTGGATAATATTTAGGGAGAACACAGAGACAAGTTTCAGATTTTTTTCGGTGGAGCAAAACCAAAACAATATTCTTGTAATTATACCGTTACCAAAGTCTGTTGTTGCACTGCACTGCCACCTGCTGGTACACAGCTTACAAGTGTTAAAGAAAAGGAAGAGAAAGGAGAAGTCAGGGTTCTCAGAAAATGTCCCCTTCTCTAATATTGAACCGTTATTAAAGTAGTATTTCACCACATGGCAGGAGAATTGATCCTTTAAACACAAACACACCTTTATAAGCATTCAGGAGACCTCCAATATCTGGGGCCGTGGGGATCTGGGGTCCCGACTGCGATTCAGTGCTTTTAATGGAGGCAGGTGTTGGTTTTCATTTGAAGGTGAGAAAAGGCAAAATGACTCCATGAAAAGTAACTCCCTGGACAGAGAGTGAAATTGTGCAATCAGGGTCGCCAAGTTTCATTGTGTTTAGGGGAGAATTTTAGACTTTTGAAGGCTTTTTAAGTTCTTTTATTAAATATTACTAAATTCACTGTGGTGCCTCTGGGTAATTAACTGTGAGCTGTAAAGGGGAAATCTTTGAGCAAACAAATCATTGCAGTCATTGTAATCCTACCTTTGTGAATTCCCGTTTTGCTGCATGATCTTATGTGGATGTGTAATGCTCCCAGAACTCATGTAATCAACAGATGAATAGGGTCAAAATGTATTTAACTATTCGATATCACCATGAAACTTCCCAAGTTGATTACTGACATTAAGACGAATATTTTTTTTCTAAAGATGATCATATATGTGCTAATTCACATACACTTCAATACTAGCAATTTGAATATTGACAAAAAGGTTAAAAATTATATTTTCATTTTGTCAACATATTAGAGTCAAAGTTTTTACACAGAGGGATTGTTGGATATCTCCTGGAATCAGTCCATAAATCAGAAAATATTGTCAACAGAGATAAAACTAAATACTTTTTCGCCATGTTTTTAGGAAAAGAAAAGTTCTATAAATCAGGCTATGAAACAATATCAACAAACGCCTCAAAAACCTTTAGAAAATAGATAAGAATGAAACCAGAAAGTGTGGTGTATGTAACCGCTAGAAAGGTACTGTAGGTTTTTTTTGGCTTATCCACTTCTAGATCTGCTCAATAACCAGAGCACCTTTGTGTCGTGCATGAGACAAATTAGTCAAAAGGTCTTAATCAGTCAAAATATCCTCAATCCAAGGCAAAAGAGATTACTGATTACTTCCTGGTGCTTTCTTTGGTTCAGTTTGTTGCAGGAAGAAAACGATAGAGAGCATGTGCATTTGGATGTTTTTTCAGTCTTGTCACAATGTCATTACCAGATTATTTGTAATGACATTGGACCAATGAAAACAACAGACTTCTGCTTTACTGCTGTTATTTGAGGAGATTCTGTTGCCATTTTTTGTCCGTTTTGTTCTTTTCAATAAGCTGTTCTTCTGCCTGAAGGGATGCTTGTATATCTATGACATATTCTCGCTGTAAACCAGGCTGACTAGTTGAACAACACTGCCATCTGCTGCCTGTGATGGGCACATACACCGTTGGTGGTCACTGACATGAAAGGCTGCATACGCTATTTATTTTACTTTTATTTGTGGAAAATCTGCCTTTTTCCTGCTACACAGGAACAACTTGACACATGCGAGTTCAACCCGAGCCAATTGAAGCTGTAGCATTTAGTCACAAGTGTCTGACTATGAGGAACCTTGGCAGTATTGGCAGTATTTGTTGGGAGGAAACAGCAGCTTTGCAATTCAACTTATGCAGCCTGAGTGGATACAAATCTAGAACAGTGATGCCTACATATGCAGATACCTACATCAGTGTAACTTGAGTCTGGCGTCAGTCTGTGAAGACTGGATTAAAGAGATACCATTTATGTGCGTCGACACTTGCTGCCAAGACTGTGGTAACATCAGTTGCTGAGTGCAAAACCAAGGTAATGCCGTTCGCCTCTCCCAGAGGACAACCATACCATAATAACACAACTTTAGAAGCCATGGAAGTCAGAAATCGGCTGGCCGTACCTCGGCTTCTCTCTCTTTGACTACACAGCAGTTTCCCAAGTGTGTCGGAGGACTAGGGTTGCCCTTCAGCTATTGCAAATTCACAAAATTCTTTGTTTGGTTTGACTGTTCTGTATTACTGTAGAAAAATGGCGGTGCAACATGGTGGACTCTGTAGGTGGTTCGATCCCCGGCTCTGCTCGTCCATGTCAATGTGTCATTGGGCAAGAAACTTAACCCCAATTTGCTCCCACAAGCTGTGCCTGTGGTGTGTGAATGATTAGCTAGTCCTGATGGGTAGGTAGCCCCTGCCATCAGTGTATGAATGGGTGTGAATGGGTGAATGATGACATGTAGTCTCAAAGCAATTTGAGTGGTCGGAAGACTAGAAAAGCCATTTACCATATAAACACAACCATGTTGTTGTTGTTTTTTTATGTTTTGTTTGTCACACGTTTCAAACAGTTTCAGACTGCAACCGTAATCCGGGAGAAAATACATTTCCCCTGAAACGTAATTGAGATTGCAGTTTAGTTATGCGGGAACATCATTTTGTAGGAGACTGGGTTGTAAGAAAACATAATGAGGAATATTATATTCATTTCCCCCGAAATGCTACACACTGGCCCTTTAAATTCACAAGAAAATAGAATTGCTAGAGCACCTAGAAAGCCCCCTAACTTCTCATATTATAGGGTTGATTGACCTCAAAGCCAATGGTATCGAGCAGCGCTGTTAGATTATGTTTTACCTGCCGAAGCTTTAAGATTAGATTTGAGGTTTTCATCGTAATATTTTTCTACCACAGAAGTAGACCCACTGAAAATCAGTTCAAAGAGATTGGATTGGATTATTCACAGTAACTGGAGATATAAAACCTCAGTACCTCAAGTCCCAAACTGTCGGCAGCACCTCATACCACTGTGAAAATGTCTTTTGGGATTTGGGTGTGCTGACCCTTGGAGATAGACGTGTAACAGTAACTTTAGTGGGTGTTACGGCTCATTTTGATCCAAAGCAAAGCCTTGAGTGTCCATTTACTGCAGCTCCTTGTGAAGCGTTATGATTGAGGTGTTTCGTTATATTATTTGTATATACCTGAATCTTACAGTGGGCATCAAGCAGCCCTCATTTTATTTTTGGAGGTCTGTGTGCATACATTAAAAGATTCTTATATGTACAGATCAGCATTTTGTGAAAAACATTACTGTACATCACAAAGGTAACATCCAGTATTTGTGCCACTCTAATGTATCAACTTAACACGTCTTGGCAAGTGTAACTGTAGCTTTATAAGTTAAACAACAAAGAAGCTTTTGTTGCCAATCCTGTGGTGCCGGATCAGCTTGTTGGATGGGAGGCCTTCAAGAAAAGATGAACACACCTAAAATCAAAGAGGAAGCATTGTTTTGATTAAACACAGTGAAGTGTCTGCTGAAGAGGAATGTTTCTCCTTTCGAAAGAAACTCAAATCCACCCAGACTACTTCACCAGAGAGAATATTAAAAATGACATTTCATCGTGATCAATTATATAATTGATCACGATGAAATAGCTGTCATGTTCCACACACAGACCGACCAGCACTGCTTACTGTGTAAACTGGGCAGGTGCCCGTGTGAATTGGTCGAGAAAAACCAAACATGTAGCAGAATCCTGGCCGAGAAAGCGTTTCCGTGTTTTTCCTGCAGCTAACCTGCTCAGAACAAACAGCATGAGGCTGCTCAAAGCGCCTTTCTTTCTTTTTTTCACTGCTGGGCTGAATCCCGCCTCTCTGGCTGTCAGGGTTAAGAGCCGAGTTTCAAAGAAGGACACCCAAGCACTTTGATTCGAAGATGAAACTGACATTTATCAAGGCCAAGACTCGCCACAGTCAAAGTCTGTTTTATCTGCTGAAGTCCAAGTGCCTCGTGGCTCCTTTGAAAAATGTTCAGCACATCAGATGCTAATAAGAGCACACGCCGATCCAACGTGTACTGTGCTGAAATTAAAAGGTGGCATGTGCTGAGTTTTAACATCCAGAAATGTTTTTTGCATTAATAGACTGACAGCATCTGTCTGCTCTTCAATAATCTCGTTCATATAGAAAGTCTTTAGCAAACTTTTATGAAATTACAGCAGCGGATGAATACGCATATGGCGCTCTAGAAATATTCAACCGACTCGCCAGAATAAAATGGTGGCATTGTAGGTATCAGCAAACCAAACAGAGTCTGGACGTTTCTCAACCAAAAATAAGTTTCATATTTCTGCATATGTCTATATCAACATTATAGTGTTTTAACCGCTCTGGGCCCTTTTTGCCGCTTCGGAACTGCATTTTCAACTACGTTTAGGTTGAGGAAACAAAACTAGCTGGTTAAGTTTAGTAAAATATGTTTTGGGTTAAAATAAGTACGTGACTTTCGGTTTCACACATTGGTGTCCTGGATGAAAGTTGCATGATTGACACGTCTATCCGTGCCGACCCCCTCCCTATTAGGACTTCCAGGGACTTTGATTGAATGTATTCCTGACAATGCAGTTTCTTTATACGCAAACGTCCTTTTTAGGAGACCAAGCAAAATGTTTCTAGCAGCAGGTTGGTTTAGGCCTAAGTGGTGAGCTGTCATATAAAAGAAAAGATAGTCACATCACACTGGTTTTGTATCATGAATCCTTTAATCGTTTGTCTTGAAACAAAATGGACTCAGAGTGCAGTGAAGAAATAGAGTAAATAAATATAGTTTCTCAGAAATGCACATTTTGCTTGATGCTCAGGATTTTATTTTCAGGACCTATACTTGACAGGAGCAGAATACAGGCAGGCCTCAATGCTGGACATACAATCGAAGGGTCTGACTGGTTCAAAACAACAACGGGAAAAGAAAGAAAAACAAACAAACATTGCAGCTACAAGAAGAGAGAAAAAAACCCCACAATCACATCTTCACAGAAAGTGGTCCTCTTAGACGTCACCTCTGGGATGGTTGTCAGTAAATTGTACTCCGTTTCAAGATGTACGGCCTCCGGGACTTGGTGGTACGCGCCGCTTGCCTCTTCAGGATGTAGGGTGATTTTCGTTTCAGCGGAGTGTCTCTGTTCTCCTCTAAATATTCTTGAGAGTCACGGAGTAGCTGTTTAAGGGGCAGAGAGAGAGACGAGGGTGAGTGTCACACGACGACGAGGAAATGTCAGGCGAACACAGGTTTTGTTGCCGAGTGGCAGCATAATGGGAGGCTACGCCGGTGTAGCTGTGATTAGACGAGGGCTTCTCCTCTGGGCGTCCATGCATGGCAAAGCAGGTGCTAATCTGCAGTCGCCGTGTTAAGATTTGAAAAAAAAAAGGGAGAGAGAGGCTGTTGTGTAAGGAGCCGAGGAAGGAAAATGATGTAGGACAGGGAGGGAGGGGTGAGGGAGTGTGTTTACTGGGAGCGAGGATGGATGGGCCTTTGTGTGCATGTGTTTGAGATATTTACAGTGAAGGCCTTTACACAGCGGGGGCGAGTTTTTCCTGGATGATTAATTGGCACATCAATTAATTTCTTCCGAACTGTTTTTGTCATGAATACTTTCAGATGACAACAGAATGAAAATATTACGTTGCAAAAAATGACCATCTTCTTTTTTCTTTTTTCCTTTTTTCCTGAGCTTTCGCACCACGAATAAAGGCATCAACCAATTGCATTGGGTGGAACTGAAAACAACACAGAGGCTCTTTGGACTGCATCTTGTCGGCAAAACTTCCTTACTCCTTCCAACCTTGTCAAAAGCAGCACCAGCTGGATTCTTCTGTTTTTACCTTTCACAATAAAAGGCCTCGCTAAATATACACACTGCTAGTTCTTTACCAGAGAGAACTCATATTCACTCAGAGCATTTCGCTAAAGGAAACTGAATAACATAGCTGACAGTAGTTGAGCTGACACACCGGTTCACATCAGGCAGACAGTTGGTCCTCTGCCTGTATGAATCTGTTTGAACAAGTGTTTGCAGCCTCACTACGCTGCTGGTATGTTTTATGCTAAATAGACGCAGGCGAGTGTTTCACATTTCTGTGTCATTTATTGTCACGCCCCTGGTGTGTTAAGGCCTTTATGTATGTTCTTGTGTTTTTGTGAGTGCGTGTTGTATTTTTAGGATTTCATATCGGCAAAGACATGCAGTTATTGCCTTACTGGCTGGTTAGGGCCCGAGCACCGACCAGCAGTCGGGGAAGGCTCTATTCAAATCGCTTGTTATTATATTATTTCTATTTTCCCCTTTGAGCAATTTTTGCGTGGCTAAGAATGCTTAAAAACATTTAAAACTTTACATACAATGATTGAAGGTTTAAGGTGATAATACACATTCAAAACATAGTTGTGAATACCATATGGATGGTTATTGATAGAGCAGCACTTAATGATCAAACCAATCAGAACATCCACAGAATTGTGGAAGTGTGTTTGATCAAAGATGTGTCGTCCTCAATTTATGACACAAACCTCGGAACTTCAACTTATTATACTTTATTATATTGAACTGCTAAAATCTATACTTTTGCTCAAGTAGTATAGCATAAAAAAAAATAATAAGGTTGGTCAAACGACAACTTATTTCCACTGTAGTATTGAAGATCTTTGTACGGCAGCAGGACAATACGACTTACAATAATACACACATCTTCAAAGTAGTGGATCACTACTTCCACCACTGTGTGTGTGTGTGTGTGTGTGTGTGTGTGTGTGTGTGTGTGTCTCACCCTCTCCCCCCGGCTCTGCAGTGCTCGGCAGATGATTTGCAGGTTGAACAGCTCCTCGTGCAGCTGGAGGCTCCCCTCCCTCAGCTCGCCGCCCTCCTCCTCCTCCTCCTCCTCGCCGTTCCACCCCTCCTGCCGCAGGCTGTTCACCATCCTGCACAGGTTGACCAGCGACACACGCCAGTAGGGGGCACTCTGCTTATTCTCTTTCATCTGCAAAGAAGGAACACGGGAGGAGGTTTCGAATTGAATACAGGAAGTGATTGGTTTTATCATGGTAATTAATTAGATCGTCACTGTGAAGAGATAATTTAATTGAAGTTTGGTTTAACGTTGTGAACGTAAGAGGCCAGAGGGAGACCAGAGGATAAAAACACAGTTGCTAAACAACCTGATATTTACACCATGAAGATTTTGTTTTATTATTTTTGCATCTATTTATTGCCTTTTTCTGTTCAACATTCAACTTTTTCTGCACAAAATTAATTTGTTTCCCCTGGGTCATGAATGTGCTGCATTGACCATTAGATCCAGGCAGAAATGGGGTGGACACAATAATGACAACACAATACAATTCAATCTAATCCAACAGCCCCGCTGTGATCTGTTAACATCTTATTGTTGTAGTCATGTTTGGTAACAATTGTGATAGAAATGATACGACTGAAGAAACTATGACATTATTGTGGTTAATGGTATTATTGTGTTTTGCTCATTGTGGTCATATTGTGGAGTAATTCTTATTTCAGACAAAAGTATTTCTTTCACAATGTAGTCATGTATTTGGTATCCTCAAAATGATGTTTGTTTCTTTTGTCCCAGGTCTGAATCTCAGTTGTTGATTTAGATTTTTGTGTCAGCCTTCCTTAGTGAGCTGCTAAACCACCTCGATGCATTTCATTTGTTCCACTGAAGTGCTGTCGTCTGATTCGCTGTTTCTGAGTTTTTTTCCACATGCAAACAATTTCCTCCGCTGTATTTTTACACTTGAAGTAGTAACCGCTTTGGCAGTTCCCTGTAAGAGGCGCCGAGGACGCATGTGAGGCTCTTACTTCTCGCTGGCGATGTCTGCCACATGTTAAGATATATGTGTGTGCTATTTCTTAAACATTCTCAGGTGCCAGACACCCAGAGTGATACGCCAGTCACATCTAACCTCATCTAGCTGCAGCCTGTTCTGTTGTAATCCAGTTTTAGTGCTTTAAGGCGGTGGAGGCTCCCGGGGCCTCTTATGTGTGTCGAGGGCCAGAGATCTCCCACACAAAGACCCCCTGGGTGTCACTGAGGATGATGGAGAGATTAAGGGCGCGAGGGGAAATTTTTTAGATGGCCACAAGCCCTCTGAGACTTTGCGTTGTTCGTGAACATCCCGAGGAATAGAGTCTCCTCTGATGTTGTAAAGACAGGAGCCAAGAGATGAAACGCAGGTGTCTTTTTTTTTGCTCGGCGGGGGAAGACATGCAATAAAAGCTTTAGAGAGACGTCGAATGAACAACGCACCAGGGACGGCACATAAGATGCCACTGACATTTACAAATCATTTATGCATTTTCACTTAGTTTTGAATTAGCTATGAGTGGGGTCAGGGGTGGTTTACAATGAAAGGTCACATGGAGGAAGGTTTCTGGTGGAGCTGATCAGGATCTTCTCCCTTGATGTAATTAATAACTTTCCAGGATGGGATTACGAGCAAATGCAGGGATCTAATATCCCAACAATCCCCAGCAGACCAATTATTATTAACAAATCAGCCTTTTCTCTCAATTGTCGCGACTGGATTTTCTGTCAGTGACATACTTTACTCTTTTGACACTTTAAATGCACCTGAAAAGCCTTATCTACATTCAAATGTGAGTGAGTAGGGAGCTCAAGAGCCAATGTCAAAATGGGACAGACTGATAGATGAGCCCAGGCTGTGGAATAAGGCTGTCATGTCCAATAGAGGAATGAGAGCCAGAGAGGAAGTCTATCTCCTGCATTGAATCAGATAAAAATTAGAGTGGGCATCAATCAATTTAGCTCTCGGCTGAAGAAATGATTACATCGATATCGCGTTATGAGGCCAGATATTGTCTTATATTTTGGGTATCTTAATTTGGCACAGGTGTTGTTCTAGCTGTACTAGGATTTGCTTTTAGTCATTATATCCATATCCACGTTTAAATAGTCTTTGAAGGCACCAATAGTCAACTCTAATATCGTTGCTATATCGATAGAGGTATTTGGTCCAAAATATCGGGGCTTATTGATTTTCCCCACATCGCCCAGCCCTAATGTAAAGGCTACAGTTAAGATGGAGAGCCACAAGTATCTTCTGCACTCTCCAGCTTCTTGAGCACTCCGTCACCCGGCTGGTTATTATTTCAATCATCGCCCTCCTTCTGAGCAACCTCCAGCAGCAATCAATCACGCGGCTGATTTGTCACCGTCACGTCTGCGTATACGAGCACCGCGGTTTGTGTATCGTTATGGTGGAGGATGCGTCGGTTTGCGATGCCGTCAGCTCCATCTGAATCTCATTAGGCTCGCGCCATCCGTCTCCTCGTGCCCACTGGTTCCACTCTCTCCATCGACTACGCCTCGCCTTGAGCTCACGCCACCAGATGTGTGTTAAAAAGCATTAAGTTCCAACTCAATACCTTCCCCCAGCTCATCTTTTCATCTCAAAGGACATGCCCAACAAGTGCAGCAGTTGGAGTGCGTTGATTATATATATGTTTTTTAATTTCCATTCAAAACAAGGTCGGTCTAAAAGCCAATTGTTAGTCCCTGAAACCTCTTAAGAAAAAGAGGGACCCCTGTACCTTAGAAGTGAAGAGACTGCCGAGTAGCTCCTCTTCCAGTGCTCGCTGATCCTGGTCGACGTCTGTCGGTCACAAAGAGAAACTGTAACATAACCTTCAACCAAATCTAATCAAGAATGTAATGAACCCCATGTGATTGCTGACTCATAAATGTCGAGGAGATATGAGAGTATAGCGTGCTCGTTATCAATTTGTCGATTGGCATTCAGATTGTTTCATCTTCCTCGTGAGCTGGAAGAGTTTGCAACATTTACATATCAAGCACAATGTGAAGACGACCCACATTCTTATCGTTTGATTGACACCTGTTGATTTACGGAGCTCCCAGTTTGCTCTGATAGTGAAGCCTTAAACCCACATTAATAAAGCTTTGTTAATCCAACATCTGTTATTGACTTTGATGATTCAATTTAAGTGTTTTATCTTACAACAGTGATTCTTAATAGCCTGTATTTAATGTGAACTATATATATATTATATTTTTTCAATATGAAATACATTCTTTTGAAATGTCATCGAATAAATATGGTTTGCGCTGCTGTGGTTGAAATGGGTTCTAAATGGTTTTATAAAAATTCTGACTCAATAAATCACAACTTGTGAAGAGAATAAGACGAATAAAATAAATATTTCTACTGGAATCAATTAACTAAGGTTTCAAAGTTATTAGCCTCCTGAAGTCATTTTTTATAAATTGTGGGACCAGACAAAAGGAGTAACTACCTTCAGAATGAATCATTTTGCCAGCCGGGGTATTTCAGCATTTAATCCAGAAAACCCAAAGTCAGACAACCCTAATGCTATGAACAAGCTTTGACGTGAAAAGAAATATAAATATTTCCACGATTTAGAGAATGCAGTTTCTCAATACTGCACCTGTGGCACACAGGAAGTTATGCAAGAGGCAAAGACTTGTTCTATACTTTGCTTGAGTGTTGTCGTTTTCTCCCCTATTCATGGAAGAAGTCAATGATTAATCATGAAATCATAACAGGATGCCAGTTGAAAGAGTCCAGGGGTGCTCACCTGTACAAAGTCCACCACACGTGAAACAGAGGAGAAGCATGCACGCCAAGTGTGCCTGCATCTTGATGAGAAAACAAAGAAAAAAAATAAGTGATCCCACACTGAAGAATTCACCTGCGGAGGAATCTAGTCCATAAGGTTAAAGGTCAGACACAGACGGCTAAAGAGGCTCTAGAGGGGATGTTGTAGTGATGCTGCTTCTTCCTTCCTCTTCTTCTTCTCTTCCAGCTCCCAGCAGGCTTCCCCTTTCCTCGCCGTTTTCTGTTTGGTTGTGAAGTGCAGTGGGCTCCATTCCCCCCCAGTTTATAAGAGCTACATGTGATGTCAGAGGATCGGTCCTCTCTCTCCTCATCTCCGCCCCCACCTTCCCACCCACTGACACAGCCCCCATCATCCACCCATCAGTCTCTCCTCTCCTGTGTCACCATTTCATCAGACGTCACTTTGGCATCACAAGGCGAATGTTGTTGGGTTGTTGTTTTTTTGCGTCAAGCTTTGAGAGATTTGGTTATTTCAGCTGATGTGTGCACACAGTCTGAGGTTTGTTTTGCTCTCGTTGCAGGGGCGATGTGGGAGGATGCACGACAAAGATTCACTCTTTTGTGTTTATTTGGAGAAGCCGGGCTCCACCACATCTTTTTTTATTTTAGAAATCATGTGTCTTTTCAAAGCAACAGGGGATTGTCTAGACTTCCAAAGCAAATGAGAGCCAACAACATAGATAGTAATAAGTAGCCAGTTATATATATCTGGAAATATATTCTTATTTGAAAGTTGAATTGTCCATATGAAACCCTCTCAGTAGAAATAATGCACTGGCTATACTTCTTTAAAACCTTTTTATCACAATGATCCTTGACACAGAGGTAATATGTTAGTGACCCTCTTAAATAAAGTTTATTTTGAAATACACCTTCATTTGAGAAATCTCACCACAATAATGTTTGATCACAGCTTATGATTTTCAGATGGAGTTTGCTCAGTGATCATAAAATAGGAGATGTTTTTTTTCTGAGGACTTTAAAATAAAGGACAACTTCCATGTTGTTAACTCGAAGTTCAAATTAAATTCTTGAGCTGAAACAGCAGTTAAAAAAAAGTGTTTTTTTATTTTTATTATTATTCCGAATATCGTAATATATTTAGGAACTTACTACGGAGTCCCACAAGGATCGATTTTAGATCCTCTCCTGTTACAGGATTGTATTTTTTTAAATGTAATAAGAGACTAAGTTCACGCAATGTCTACATACAGTAATATCACATCAGAGACTTTATCACTATGCTACTCTATCTTATGTCTGTTCCCGGTGCTTTAGTGTGGACTTCATATGCACACAAAATAAATCTCATAAATGTTATACATTAAATACTAGCAGCACTCAGCAGTATACTTTGCCAGGACATAATTAAGTTAGTTCTTCGCTTTACTGTTTATTAAACAGCAGTTTTTTGGCTTTCACACTGTGTTATTAATGTGGTACACTATCACAAAAACAAATCCACTTTGATTTAAAGCCACCAAGTAAGTGTAGGCGTGTCAGCACATTCTCTCAAATCAAATCAAACGTTTCACACTAATTGGTCCCCACAGAGAATCCTTTAAATGTGGAGAAAATATCCCAGTTGGAGCTGCTTCAAAACATGCGTGTTGTACCGAAGATATTTCGAGCACAGAGAACAGCCAGACTGGAGTAAAAGCAGGCTGCATTCCTCTCATGTCTGAATTTCATCTTTTTATCGTTTGAATCCACCAGAGAGAGCCACTTACTCTCAGTCCTTTGCTGTCCTCACTGAGACTGCATCATCATGTTTTACATGACTTGGTTTTGCCTCTTCATTAGACTTTTAGAAAGATATGTAGATCAGCCCGATAAACGAAAAAAGCTGCACTGTCTGTAATTACTAATATGTAAAATCAGTTTTTTATTAGAATATTTGTGCATATGGTACTTTCAAGGGCATTTTTAGTTGTAACTAGAGTGTGTCCAAAATGTGCATCACATCCCTTGATGGATTTTCTGCACTTTCTGGTCCCATAATTTCAATTTAATAATGTCTTTAATCTGACTTTATCCTGAAGTAATTTACTGTATTTAGTTTAAATCCCCAATGCGTTACTGTTTTCGCTGAACAATGTGACTCTCTTGTTGTCCAAATCATTTACTTTTCTCGGCGGTAGTTTCTCAGGTTGCTCCTGCAGGTGGAGGGGAAGGGGGCAGACATACGCCAATGCGTGTCAGCGCAGTGTGGGAAACACCTCCCTCCGCTTTTCGGATGGGGCGGACAGAGTCGCTGCAGTCGGAACACCCTTCAACTTTTCCCCAAACACTCCACAAAGTGTCCGACGTCCTGCCATGCTGGGGCTGTAACGCATTTCGGAATTGCTGGTCTATATTTCCCCCTCGCGCTCCCGACTCATGGCTCCGTTTGGAAAAAACTTCCTGAAAGCTCGACAGAAAAACAGGTAATTTGATGAGGAGAGCGACGTTTCTTGACGGGAAACCTGTTGCGCGTGTGTGTTTTTTTCTTCTTCTCCGAGTTCGATCATTATGAAGGGAGAATTACGCACCGGATATATGGGTGAGCTGCACGAGGGGCAAAGTAGACTAAAGTTTTAGAAAGCAGTTTTGTTTTTACATCCAAGTCATTTGAGACGGATACCGCTGGCTACAGTCCAAATACAATCAAAGTATTATAGCAACATGGTGACACTGTGGGGCATAAAATACACCTCAGAGTAAAACTAATGCACCATTAAAACACAATAAACAACCACAGGGACACAATCTAAAGTTAAAGGGATATTAGGTTATAGGGTTCTTTATTTGTCTTCTAACCAGGGGTGTAAATAGGGGCGGTGCAGGCAGGACAGTTGCACTGGGGCCCATGTGGTGTGTGTGTGGGGGGGGAGCAGGCCCTCCAACAGTGTGTTAATTGAAGAATGGACTCAGTGGGATTGAGCGCGATTCAGATTGTAGGGATGCAGAAATACCAATACTGACTCCACCAGCTGGATGGAGAACTGGTGACCAATTTATTCAATTCAGTCCAATTCTATGTTTCTTTACTACACACATTATATACTGGAAATGTAATTCCCATTTAACTTTTGAATAATTTGTTGCTGGTGTAAAATAGTCTTATTCTACATAAACTACCAATAAACAGTAAAAAAAATATTCAATGAATTGAATATATTCTTATTTTCTTTGGTATTTTTGTCATATAGATATGAAATGATGACTGCTCGGTAATATATATGTTGATATTGTCCCGTGTCAAGTCTCTCTTTGATGTGATGAGACGATATGATGGTGTGTGTGTGTGTGTGTGTGTGTGCTTCATAATGGCCTGTAAGGTCCATCATAATAGTGTCCACTTGGGCCCATCCTAACCACCTAACGTCACATCTAACATTACATATACATATATATAACTTTCCATTACTGTTTTCAACCAACATTAACCAGCATGTTGCATTGGGATTTGGGGAGCATTGTTGATGAAGATGAAGAAGTGTATCGCTCAATATTTAAGGCAGTATTGCATGTGTGTGTGTACATCAAGGATTAAGGGGGAGTTTTAAAGCAGTTATTTTTTTGCCACATAATGTGACATTCTCTCTAAATGTAACTGGTGTAAGAAGGTGTTAGTTATTAGACTATTTATGGAAAAGTTAAAGAAAAATATGCCCTTTGATAGCGGGCCTCGTTCCTGTCAAAGTACACTATACTGTACATCAACTTATAAGAGCTTCTGCTCTCCTCTGTAATTACTACAAAGATCTTTTTTAATTTAATACGCCTTTCATGCGGGACACCAGAGTCAAAGAACATCTTAACTTCAGGTCGAGAGAGATCCTGTGATCAGCGCTCGTATGATTTCTTTCAGCAATTTCCCCGAGTGGCTATCGTGGCCTTTTGATGTGCCCCATGGCTGCAGCTGAGCTCCAGCCTCAGCTTTTCAAAAAGGTGGGAAAATAAGATTTTCTGTGCCCACCGTTATTGGTGCACAAATTCTATTTGGACTCTTGACTGCAGACTTTTTGTGGTGCAGAGTTGGTAAACAAGAGTTTCTCGTTTTTGAGGTATCTAGGTCACAAGCCAATCCCTCGCAGGGTGCAGACAGGATTCATGTTGCCAAGACCAGGATCAGGAAGGCTTTTAACTGTGTGTAAAGAACTGTTTTCATTAGCTTTACTTAATAAGACTCATTTACCACCGAACTCAGCGGGAAAAGGCTTTGGATTAAGTTCAGAAATAAAAACAGGCTCTTATGCTAAATTACTGGGGGAAAAAAATCTTGTGGCAGCCGCAGCAGAATGGATGTATTTTCACATCACAGAGCTTTGATAACTTCAAAACAGTCTGACTGAGGCTGTCTCCTGTGGATACAGTGGTCGTCTTATTTTCTTCATGTTGTGTAGTAATTACCACCACAGCACCTATAATTACCTCACGTGTTCAGATCTATAGATATGTCAAACGCTTGAATTCAGAGACTCGCATTTTCTTGCTCTGGGCTGGATGTTTGCAGAAGAATTGCATGTGGAGTCGCAGTCGGTTCAGAACTTTGTCTAACTTCAGAATAAATGCAGCAGTGTGACAGCATTGTGCGCGGGGCCGATTAGCTGCCGAAAATGTTTGGTTAACACAAATGATGGCAATTGTGTTGAGAGTAAGCAACTTGTTTTTCTTCCACTGAGCGAAAGCTTATTTGTTGATTCACAGACCTGCCGGGGGGGGAGGAGGAGGAGGAGGAGAAGAGAAATAAGAGAGGGTGGGTGTCACAGAGGAAGGGAAGAGAAGGGTGTGTTGTGTCTCTGCGCACAGATGCCTATCAGAGTGGGAGTCATCCCAGAGATCAACATATGCAGATAGAAAAATGATGTTATTTCCTCGCTGATCCCTCATCCTCTTTCAGATAAGAGAGAGAGGAAGCGTCTCTTGTCCGTTATCTGCTCTGCGACATGCTCTGTGTTTCGTGTTCTCCGTTATAATAAACAGACACAGAAAACACCTTCCCTATCCGAGATATCAAAGTGTTATCAGCATAGCAATATGACAATTTTCAACTGGCAGGAGGCGCAACATTTGTTTAAGGCGACGTGTGTTACAAAATACAAGAGATATTTTGAATTAAATATTGTCGAGCTGCAGAGACGTTCCGACCTATACATCATATTCTACAGACTAAAGGAAACATCTTTGTTTGACACGGATTCCTGCACAAAAATCAAACATTTGAACATGTTTTTCAATGAAAAGAGAATAATGATGTAAAAAAACAGGAACAGTGTTGTTCCTTAATTTCATCTCCTTCTGTCTCGATCTCCAGGTGATGTGGTGGTTCACTCTTACAACTGATCTGTAGGATTTAGCTTCTGTCTTAATATTTTTAACCTGTTTTCACTGCTGAATCAGTATGACCTCCTTGATATATCCTTCGAACACATATTGTAGACCTTTAAGTCTGCTTCCCTCTAAAATCGCTTTTTTGTTTATCCCAAAAAATGTGATGTTTCTTCAAGAAGTGCAGTTAGTGACAGTGTGGGCTCCATGGTAGCTCTCGTAATAGAGTTTCCAGAAGAATTATTTACAGTTTATAGGTTTTACTTCACTTATAATTTACTATTTCAGTCGGAGCAAACCTATAAATTCACCAACACCAGACTAATTGAAATGTTCATTCCATTGCAAGAAAGTCAGAACCTGTTGACAGCAATGGCTACAGGATAAATATGCTACAACAGCTTTGTTCTACTGGAAATAAATGCCTCATTTTATCATATTACTATTGATCTGAGAAGACACTGGAAAGCTATAATTCTGTCATTTGTTATGACTCATTCGAATCACCAGCATGCAGTCCTCTGTGGTAACTTGTAGCTTGCTAATTTATTACACAGAGAGAATTGTTCATCATCTCTTCAAGGTTGTCATTATGAGCATTGCAATGGAAGAGAGAGAGCCCTGCCACCATGACGGAGCTCTAAAAAAATTCATATAATTGAAATGTGGTTTCCTCCCGCACCCCTGATGTCTCACTCAGTCTCTCAGCTTGTAAGTTCAAACTGAGGTTAAGCAGGTCTGCTCAGGTTTCTTGGGTTCACTCGAGTGTGAAATGTTGAGGTTTAACCCGTCCTGTGTTATTCACTTCACAGCATCCATCCGCATGATATCATTTTATAATGAAATATTTATATTAATCATCATAAGTCCTAATTCTATTGACGTATTTCCAATCATAAGTTCATCACAACATCCGTGTCAGCTTTGTGAATTATCCCCCCAAAGCTGTGACCTATGAGGGCCACCCTCATGTGTGGCATCTGGAACCACATGCTAATCCCAAACTATGAATATCAAAGTGACAGCCCTTATGAACGTATTAGCTGCGATGCAATCAGCCCAATGGTGCGTGTGGTATTTGTGTTTGTCCTGGCAGGGAGTTGACTAGAGAGGGTTAGGGCAAGCCAAGAGACTTATTACGCCAATCTCATCAAAATGTTTGACAATGATTTGATTGTTGACAGTGATAAAGTGTTGTAGTCTAAAAGGTATCTGACTTTCAACCTACAAACGGCTCAAATGGGAAAAAATATTCCGGTAACTCTTTTTGAAACTCCTGTCTTGGTGCCAGTTCTGTGAATCATTGCTCCATTAAGGAGGTGTCGAGGTTCTTAAGAGACAAATGCGCAACAGGTTGTGTATTCTTGATCGGAGTGTGTCTCAGTCTATCAGGCAGCTGTTGTTGCTTGCCCCATCCTTCAGTTACTACTGAAAATGACATTTTCCATAGAAAGCTGCAAAACGTCAATGATCAGAAATCTGTTCGTGGCGTCACAGGTGAAAATGTACGTCCGTTTGTTCCATTGAAGTTTATTATTGCCACTCAGCAGTTAGCCACTTAGCTTACTTGTTCTTACCATTGAAGATTATTCCAATCTTTGACATTATAGCTCCAAAGCAGCTCAGCCTCTGAGAAATGTTTAAATATTTCAACTTGGACATGAAGTTATTTTTTTAACACTGCTATCCATGAAAAGTGTTATTCCAGGACTGGATTTGCAGATATATCAACACTTTCTTCCCATTAGCGTGGAGTTGAAAACAGACCATAGTAAATCCATGTTTCCCCTTCCTCCCTCTGTCCATTGAACCGTGGTGGCAGGATGTTGTGTGAGCGTTGGTGATTGTGGCCCAGGACAAATACAGGTGTTTCCCCGCCTTGCTGTACCCTTTCCTGCACAGCTGAGGGCTGTGGTCACCCTCTCTGAAATATCCAATTGTCCGTAGAGCGTGTTTATTCACCTGTATGTTCAGATATGACTATACAGACACGTGTGGGACAGTGTTAGTGTTTGTACTTCTCCGGGTATGTAAAGATGTTTAAATATGCTGTATGTTTCACTGTTTTTCCTTCTCTTTTCTCTATCCTGTCTTCCCTCCCTTTTGTCTCTTTCATTCTTTGATCCATCCTCCCATCCATGTATTGCAGTGCAGCACATTCGCAAACTTTTTGACACCTTAAGACAAAGCCATCTTTCTACATCCGACCCCCCATCACAGCTTCTGTGTGGGATGTTGTGTATCGGTAAAGGTGGTACTAAGTCTAAATATTTTACACTGTACATCACTGTGCAGTTTAATCTATTACAATTCACCATGATTTATAAAGATGACTTATTTTACTTTATTATACCTAAACTAGCATTTTGCTTCTCTTCTTTTCCTTTTTTCTTACCCTGTTCGTCATCATTCGACCCCTCAGGAGGTTTTGCAGTACAACACCAAAACATGTACATGAGCTCAGATATGACCATAGTTTCAATATTTTTTGAATTTCTGAGACTGCTCAGCTTATAATATTCAGCATTTGTGCAGACAAACATTATGTGTTGCATTATATTGTACAGGTGTGGCCTTCAGTGTGTCCACCCACTGTCTTCTCTCCTGATCTGCAGTAGCGTTTGCAGGTTTTCTTGAGGTCAAAGTGGCCGTGGTTGTTGTCTTTGATTGCTTGAGGCATGTTGAATTTGTTTGGCTTGCGCACAGCTCAGGTATTTGCTTTGACTCGTTTTTCTCCAAGGGTCTCCGTAACCATTAACCAGCCTGTTGCATTGTCGCATACGTATCGCATTCCTGAGACCTTATTCACCGCCAGTTTACACAATGCCCCAGTTGTGTGTTTTCGTGCCGTGTGGGAACCAAAACACAGTGGTGTCAGACAGTAAAATCAGCAAACTGTGAGATAATGCAGCGTTTAACTTCTCTCGCTTGAGTATTTCTTAATACATCTCACTTGCTTGTGTTGGCGTGCAGGCAGGTTGTATCTGTAGCATCTTCAGAGGATGTGTATTTTTGTCCACCGTCCCTCGTGACGATCAGTGGTTAATGTAGGCTGCAGTGAGACAAGGTTTCTCTTCAGATAAACACACAGCAGTTACATGATGCAAGGGTCAGATGTGAAATCACGTCTACATACCAAGGTGAAGAATAACACCAAACATTTGATAGCCAGGCGGAACACCTATAGTATTCATGTTTTGTAAATAATGCTATTGTGTGCACGAATCCTTGAATGCAAGCTTAAAAAACAGCTTAAAGCTGCCACGAGGAACTTTAGTTTTGTGTTGCGGCCCTTGTGGACAAAAGCGATGGTGTTTGTGGCGGACCGATCGCTGCTGGAGGCCCCATGGAGGTAATTTCACTTGAGATGAAACAATTAGCTGATGACAGAAAACTATCAGCAATTATTGTGATAATAAATAACTTCAGTTTTGAAATAGCCAATTCTCTCGCTGATGATCTTACTTGTGTAGTTCATTCACAGGCATCAGTATTAGATTGGGTTAGAGTGTTTCATAACCAGTTAAAAGTTCCTCACATTGACTTTTGAAAAAAACTGTTGCTTAAACAAAATGTTGGCTTCTGTCAGATAACATAAACAGCATCTTGATGAGCTACAGCTTCACTCCCTCACTGATGTCAGAGTTTGCTGTCTGAAATTCCTTTTGTGGACTGCAGATGAAACGTGACATTAACCAGAATTACAAGCACATTATTCTGATTTATTGCTGTTAGGGTTAGATAGTTTAAAGTATTGCCCGTTTGATTTTGGGAGGTGAAGGAATGTTGGTCTGCGGTTTTGCAACCAGTTTAAAGTTCCCTGTCAGAGGAGGAGCTCCAGTTTTTGTCTCCTAGTGATATTATATAGATCATCCTTCTCCGGTTTCTTTGAGATTGAACGGTACGCAATTACAGGAGTATTATATGTCACTTCTTTTTTTTTTTTTGCTTTCAGAGTAGGCTTTAACTTTGAATATGAGTAATTGGCTGAAAGTCTGCTACAGTACATCAGAGTCAGCCGAATACATCAAATAAACATTTCTTTCATATTAACAACAACATGATGCATCATTCTTTATCTTGAAATCAAATTGAAATGTCTGGCAAAGTTATCTACATACTTCTTATTTGATTACATGTTCGCGTTGTGGATGTCTGCATTGCCAGTGCCTATCATTTAACGACTGGATGTTAGGTCCTGGATATTACCGGTGGTCCATTAAGCATGTAAAAAATTGATATCATCGGCCCATCAGAGGTCAATTTTTGAGCAAGTTTTACGGTCCAGACAAAAAGGTAATGAGGGCCTTGGGGTTAAACAGCTCCGAACTGAACCATTAAGTGATCATCAGGGATGAGAAAGACAATGACTAACAGTCTAATGAAATCAAGCCAGGGAGCACAAAATGAGCAAATGTAGTTTTCTACTCATTGATGGAAACATAATTGAAAACCATCAACATAGGGTATATTTAAGAAAATAAAGAAAAGTGAAAGGACTTTTAAAGCATGAGTAGGAGAGTCTGTCTTCTACTCAAACCAACATCACCATTCGGGGACCCACGTCGCTAGCGTGATTTAAAAAAAACCAAGAAAATATCATTTAAAAAAGTACTTTAAAACATTTTTATTGTTTAAGTTGATGACTTCTGTGTTGTGAGTATCTGTTGAGGTGTTAGGACTTCCAATGTTTCATCCCCAAGCCACAATTGCTGTATGAGCATTGTTTTTCTCTCTCTTTACTATAGGACAAAAGATGCCGAGCCTGTGGAAGGAAAGGAGATTCAGGTTACGGTCTGCAACGAGGACAAGGTTGTCTGTGGAGTAACGAAGCACACAACATGTGCAGATATGATTCAGGCGTTACTGGATGATCACAAGTCAATCCCAGAGAGCAAGCGCCTCTTGCACGGGGAGGCCAAAGACTTCTGTCTCGTTGAGCGGTGGAAGGGTTTTGAGAGAGCCTTGCCTCCTCTCACCAGAATCCTGAGACTCTGGCATGCCTGGGGTGACCAGAGACCCTCTATCCAGTTTACTCTGGTCAAAACCAGCGATTTTGTGCCTCAGTCTGCCAAGAAGGGTGGAAAGTCCACGGGGGTCAAGCCAAAGCGATGGGAGCACGGTCGTGCTCAGTACTCCCAGCCTCTGCCGGTGGAGAGGCAAAAGCGCATGGTAAAGAAAGCTTTCCGGAAGCTTGAAAAGCTCCACAAGGAGAGCAAGAGCTCTCTCAGTGCTGACGAGATCGACCGGATGGTGCAACTTATCCTCAACCAGGACCACACCATCCGGGAGCAGATCCAACGCATTAGGGAGCTGGATTTGGACATCGAGCAGTTTGAGCTGCAAGTGCAGAGAGAAGCAGAGCGTGAGAGTTCACTGGCTCAGGCTTGTGGTCAGAGTTTGGGGGCGCACAGCGACGAGCAGCTGCAGGAGTACCTCTACACCAGCGACGGAGTCGAACAGCTCGAGCTGCAGGTTCAGAGGCACCAGGAGCTCATCCTCAAGCTGTCCCGGGACATTGACGCTGAGCTGAGGAGGGCCAAATTCCCTCAGAGCCAATATAAGGATGGCAAACAGGAAGCAGCCGCGGCTGCTTCCTGGATCCCATCGGAGACGGACGAATCGCTCTGCGCCGCTGAACTGGAGAGGCTGCAGGATGAGGTGAAACACAGCCTCTTCACTGGCGTGTCCCTTCACAACCAAGCCGCAGAAATAGACAAGCAGCTGAAGTACTACGAAGCTACGCTGGTCTCCAAGGATCAGGAGTGCTGGCAGCTGGCTGCCCAGCTGAGCTCACTGCAAATCGGGGACGGAGGACAAGAAGAGGAGTCCAGTACTGTCCATCCGAAGAGCGAGACTCAGTGCAGCGTTTCACAGACAGTGAAACTCAAACACAGCCTGTCCCCTCTAGACGTTACAGACACAGACTCAGACACTGGGATTAGCTCCACACACAGTCAGGACTCGCTGTCACCAGGTCTCGACTTCCCTCCCCCGCTGGACACAGACGTTTGAACAACCCGGTTGACCCTGCAATTTATTGTTCTGGGTGCACTAGACCCAGTTTGTGCCTGTCACGTGCCGTCATTACAACCGAGTCACAGAGCTGAATCCTGGCAATATTCTGCGACAGACGAAGGTCATTTATTAGAACTGAAACGATAAGTTTATTGACAGCAATGAATGTGATAATGCAAAACTTATTTCAGGATTTTTTTAAGCAAAAAAGAAATCTGTGGTTTCAGCTTCTTTATCCAAATATGATATAGAATATGTTAGTTAATATCTTAAGAATTTATACTGGTAAAAAACAATAAGAGGATGTCACCAAAGACTCAATTATAATATTTTCTGAAATATAATAATCAGCAGACCAATAACAGAAATGATTGGTTTTGTAATAAGAATAATGATTTGTTCTGTAAACAAGTTGTTTTTTTTATCCAGATGGACCAAAAAATATTTGAGGAATATTTTGAATACCTTCAAAAAAAGCTGCAAATATTCTGAAAATGTATACAGACGCTGAGGTCTGTGACTCAACTGTAATGATAATACATACAAGGCACACAGCTGGAGCTATGTGTACATCAACTAGTCCATCACTGTGTATGACCACTTTTAAGTGCACATCAACCATGTCTAAGGTGTACCAGGCTTAGTTACTTCAAAGTGTTTTTGTTTGTTTGATGTCTTAATAATGGTGAATGTATGCTTCTCTTCCCTTCTAAGTTCTCAAGCTATTTATGAAGCTGCACTTAAATCTATTAACAATGTTGTTTTATATTAAAACAGATAGTTAACTGTTTTGGATGTAAAGTTTAAGATTTGTTAAAAATGTAACATTCCTCTACACTGTAAATATGCTGCTGCACCCCTCTGTAAATGATTGTTCTTATCACACAGGCACAATTTGTAAAAACAATTTGATAAAATAACATTAAAAAAAACATTTATTTATCATGTAATCGTATTTTACGGATGCGATTTTATCATGACTGTTTCCCCTCTGATGCAATAATCTCCATCTGCTACAGATCTGATCCAACACTTCATGTTTGGGGCCAAAACAACACAAAACAAATCTGAGCTCCATATGTGTGAATCATGCTTAAAAACAAAAACTGATAAAATAAAATGTACATTTGAACTTTCACAATAAACACTAATACTGTAAATGTCACTGAGAGTAATCAGTCAGTTGTTTGTGCAAAGCCTTGATGATTTAACGTTGGACACATCTTAGCAAACAGCACTGCGACATCAGAAGGTGTTAATGGTAAAACCACAAGTAGCTAAATGTGATAGATTCCTCAAAGCACTGAGTCACCAGAGAGCAATGACACAGCTAGCACAGAGCACCCTTCCCGTCACTGCAGCATATAATCAGTCATAGATGGTCGCCATGCAGGCAAGCACAAACAACAGCGAGCACTCTCCTCTCGTCAAGGCCCTGCTGACAGACCAACACTTTGTACTCGGGGCAGAGCGGGGCTGGCTGCTGGAAAAGCAGAGGATATCTATATCACACAACCCCCCCCATCACCCTTCACCGCTTCAAGCCACTAAGTAACTCCACCAAGCATGAAAGGCCAGAGATCTTACAATGTGAACACTCTTGCACCAGTGCCTCACTTGTTGATGGAACAGGGTTTTTTTAATGGTACTTCTAGCATGTTTCACCAACAGGTACGCACCAAGCTGGAATAAAAAAGGCATTATGTTGGATGTTATTCTCATGCAAAGCCGACCCGTCTTGAGTTGGTGGAAATGTTAAAGGAAAGGAATGTTGAATAACTTGAGTCTGTTGTTCAAGGGAGGCCTTCAAACCCAGTAACACACTCGGTTCACCTCATTATTTTATTGACAGACATGTTGAGGCACCTGCCGTTCTCAAATAGCATACATACACACATACATAATGAACCGATGCAGGACCTCCCTGCACTGTTTCTCATATTAGTTTCTGTCAAGGCACCAAAAGAAGTTCAACAAAGCACATGGTGTATAGTTCCAGTCCTTGGTAGAATGTAAACGCTTCAGAAACTGTACTTACGCTACAATAGGAGAATAATATTCTCCACCAGTCAGTGTTAGAGTCTTTGGAATAGTCTAGCTTTTAAATGAGAACTTTTTTCAAACATGCTTTGTTTCCAAATTGATTAATAGTTCATACTGGCATTGCCCTGCTGCAGTGTGACTTCACTTCCTGTTTTCAGGGAGGCTGCAGGTTCAGGTAATGTTTACCTCCTCTCTCTGCCGCAGTTCAGCAACTCAAAGACTTGCCAACCCGCACGTGTGTTTGCTGACAACAATAATTACACTGACCAAAATGGCAATTAGGATGACTGTGAACCTGTCTGTGCTCAGCCCTCCCAGCTACGATGACTGGCCAGCTTGAGTAAACCATAATTTGTTATCAGCTGCGGTTTCAGTGCTGACGATGAAAAGCTGAAATTTTAAAGGGGACTCATCGTGCTCATTTTCAGGTTCATACTTGTATTTCGGGTTCCCACCAGAACATGTTTACATGCTTTAAAGTTCAAAAAACACATTCATTTTCTCCTGCTATCTGTCTGCATAGACCTGTATTCACTCTCTTTCTGAAACGCTCCGTTTTAGCGTCTGTCTCTTTAAGCACCCCTCAAAAAAAAAGCCCAAATTGCTGTGATTGGCTTGCAAGAAATATATGGTGCACCTTTGCAAATGTATTTCTCAAACTATTTGGGTCTTATTTCACATTTTGCAGGTTGGTAGGCACCCCCGATGCCCAAGTGTATGTGCACAACGTATGTGCAGTTTTTCCCCTTTTAACCGTATACAGCTAGAAAGAGACACGTACCAACCAGGAAGATATTCAAAACGACTGCAAAGAGACAAAATGAGACCACAAGGAGACTCTCAACGACTATGACAAGGGGCAAAACAACCTCAAAGAGACACTAAATGGCTACAAGGCGATACAAAGCAACTACAAAGAGACTCAAAATTACTACAAAAAAAGGGCAAAACTATTACAAAGTGACACAAAACAACGACAAAAAGGCTAAACAATTCTAAAGTCTGTGCGTGTGGCTCATATTTGGGGGTGTGATGTGGCCTTTTGCAAAATAAAACTAAACTAAACGATGCCCAGAGGCCCATTGTCTCATAATCTGCTCATGTCCACATCCCAACAGACCTTCAGCCATCTCTCACCATCAGTGACTAGAAACCTTCACTCTAAATAAAGTCTCCAGTGTTTCAATACTATAAATATTTGGATCAACAAATAACGTTTGAAAAACTATTTGCAATCTATGATCAGTGAAGAAAGATCCATTATTTATTGTTGAATATTTATTCAACAATATTTATTGAATTTATTTATTGAATTTGTTGACCAAAAATAAAAAGCATTAAGTGACATTAAATGATGTTCCTGCAGAGGCTCTGCAGCGGTCCCATCAGCCAAATCTCAGTCACATTTGCGTTCAACTTGGACAAATCAGGGCCTGGACAAATAGTTCAAGGGCCTCTGGTTTAATTGCCTCAATCAAAGTACAGTTAGAGTGCCATCCCATCCAAGAGGCATGAATCATCTGATAAAAGAGCAATAAACTGTCCCTGCTGCCAGGCAGCGACAAGAGAGCAAACAGAGAAAAGTGAGAGTGTGTGTGTGTGTGTGTGTGTGTGTGTGTGTGTGTGTGTGTGTGTGTGTAGGTGTGTGTGTAGGTGTGTGTAGGTGTGTGTGTTGTACTGCAGATGGTGGAAAACCAGCTGACTGCTCTTTTAAAGACGGGACATTTTGGAAATATGATCTGGGTTCATATGTGTTCACCAAATCAAATTAATTCAGAAATGCTTTCTGTGCGCGCGCGCGCACACACACACACACACGCGCACTTCAAATGCTCGCTACAAACACTTTATTTTGGCATGGATGTTCATCTTCCTCTTTATTAGCACTGCTGTGGCTGTTTGCTTTGCTGCAGGTGTTCTCTGATGCTGCTCTGTCACGCAGCCTTTCATTAGAGAAGGTGGAGACGCGTGTCGCCGCTCAGACGAAGACAGACGGACTGGGAAGATGATCGCGGTCTGTCCAGACTGCGCGAGGCAGAAACAAAGCAGGGAAAGATACTCATGCACGGGCTGAAGATCGTTTTTTATATACAAATCCATAAAATCATCAGTTTGAGACAGAGCCGAACTAAAAATGATGGTTCCATACCACAAAACTTCATCGGGAATTTTGCTTTGAGGGAAACGTATTTTGTCGTGGATTACACGTTTGCTTTTGACGTGTCACAAATACATTTCAAAAGTCAGCAGAAGTCCAAGCAGGCCACGGTCATGGTGGTGGACGGGTCAGAAAACTATTTAATTTCAAGCCAAACCCTGATGATTTATTTTTTACTAAAACTAACCCAAGAGTTTTGTTGTCTTAACATAACAAAGTAGTTTTGTAGCGTTTTTAACGTTAATCACGTGTTTGAAACTGCGACCGTAGACCGAGAGAAAGATATGTTTCCCTTAAGCCGTAATCCAGAGTTGTATGGGAATGTAATTTCATCGGAAAGCCTAGGCAGAGCCTCAGTTTCTCTGGCTAGATAATACTATATTAATTAAATATTATCATAATTCATGTCCAGCTATGAATGCTAAAAGAATAGAGAAGAATACTTTATAATGAAGATCTCGCTCCACCACATGTTTTAATGCTACCTTTAAATGGAAGTTTTTTTAATAAAAAAACATCACACTAAATTAATAAAGGCCATCTCCATGAGCTCAGATTCATAAAAATGTTATGACGTGAACTATCTTAAAGACAATCGTAAAACTTCAGTCATTGGTATGGACTCGTCTCGTACAAAATTCCAATCGATGGCACCGTCTCCTCCGGGTTTATAGGTTCACTATTTAGCCTTGTTGCCCTTTAAAGGTCACTCTCACTTAGGTCACTCTCACTATTTAGGGCAGACATTTAGCTGCCTTACATGCATCATAAAAGCCATGGTCATAAATGAAATGAATGATTTTGTATTGTCCGTGGCGCCTGGGTGGAGCACGGGTGATTGTTGACATCCATTTCAGGAAACAGTGGGCGTTTGTAAAGGCGAAATGGGAAATGGGAAATTAGCAAATCTAATTTGGGAGAAAATGTTTAATTTTGTTTGCACTTGCTGTTAATTTCACTTCATATTTGTAACTCAAATACCTAATTCGTCCTGCTTAGAACTGGTTCTTGGGTTCTGCCATTTCTGAGCTAATCTTTTACATTCCAGTGACACACACACACACACACACACACACACACACACGTACCCTGCGGTCCATTTCATACAGCAGGCTACGTGAAGATGACGGTATTTGATGGCAGTGGAGCGTTGCTGGCCCTGAAGAGGACGAGGAGCCGGGCGGTTGCCTCTCTCCGATTGGCTGATTGCGGCGCTCTGATTAGCTACTTAAGTAAACATGGAACTTGTTTATGGTCGCCTCACCTCTTCACAAACTTACAGCTTGACCTCGACACTCTGCGGTTCTCTCCGCTCTCGCCTTCATTCTCCACCGTGGGATTCCTGATGAGGCCTGTTTTCAGGGGGTTTACGGTTTTCCACAGTGTGTAATCAGCTGGTGAGTCGTGACCTTGCCATGTTGAGGAAATTGATAAATTCAGTGGTGGTCACAATCAACTGCCTGCAAAAGAAGAAAGCAAACATGCATACAGACTACATATGAAAGCTGTTGTTTGTTGCTTCCATGATGTAAATTCTGGTGGAAATGTGATTTTGATCTCAACAAGGAATACAAACAGATCAACATCCTCTTTTCCTCTCAAATGAATTCCTCGTATGAAAGCTGCTGTGAGGAGTCTACTCTAGTTTTCATCCAATTAGCGTTGGTTTTATATCATAGCATCATTTGGTAATTTGAACTTGCAGTCAGGTCTTTCTAATAGAATCAATGCATTAAGTCCGGTCTGTCTGCTGGACAACCAGATCCTATAAAAGGCAAATTAAATAATGAATTGCCTTCCAGATCCACCTGGGATAAGGGATAAAGTCAACTATGTACATTGCATCGAATATGGGAAATTGATGGTGAACAAATTTTAAAGAAAATGATATTTTTTCAATTATGATTTTACGTCAACATTTGTCTCCAAACCAAATTTTCTTCAGGAGAGTTAAGCATATGTTGAGCGATATTTAGGGCAGAACAGCAATGAATTGACTATGTTTTCTGCACATTTCAGCCGTGTTGGAGTTGTCTTCTCATGGTTGTCTTCTCCTGCATATCTGCTATGTTCCTCCGAAACACTCTTTTCATATTGTAGGAATACGATGCAGAAAAAGAAAACATCTTAACAGCAACTCGGTCATGAAAAACACTGCCAGCATTGCTCATCTTGAGCGCAGCGACATTGGGATATTTCTGTCATGGCATCTCTCAGGAGAAAGGAGACTTTGAAGAAAAAGCTCGGCTCGCAGAAGGTTTGAAGTGGCAGACTACTGACGGCCAACATGCTCCGTTGTTAGATCTGTTGTGCCTTTGATGGTGGGCAAGAGGCTCTTTTGTTTCCGGTGCCATGTCGAGGCCAGATGAAAGCACTAATCTAGACACACTTCCCCTCCAGAGCTGGCACTTTGAAGACCCCGGTCTGTTTGTGAGATTAATATGATTCTGGGCTAATTTCCTGGGAGGGGTCCCGTCATTGTCGCACCCAACGATCCTGCCCCTACTGTATAGTAGTGTACACACACACACACACGTTCTTAGACGGCACACACACTGGCAGTCCAGTGCATGCACAAGTGGAAATATACACACACTTGCACCTTTTTGCAACCCGCAGCCGCTGTGTCTTTCATTGCGCGTTGCCATGTTAACTGAAAGCACACTCAGCTCCTTGGCAGTTGTCACCTTCTCTGTATGTTAAAAAGGTGTAAAAGCCCCCACAGAAAAAGCTCAGCAACCTTGTTTCCTGTTACACTGACTGCAGCCAAAGTTTCTCCACGCTCCCCACTGTCAATCGTAAGTTGGAATTTATTTTTAATATAGTCTTGTTTATCATAAAGATGCAATATTTTCTAAGGTTAATTTCTCAGAGATTCAATGTGCTCGAATTCATCTAAATTTCAAATGACATTCCAGTGGAGATAATCTGTTTTGTTTTGCAGACTCTTTGCTTCTCTGTCTCTTTATCTTGACAGGCAGGGAGGCTGCATTGGATTTACAGCAGAGATTGAGGTTTTGTTGACTCTGACACATTCCTGTGGCCCTGGACGTACTGTATGAGTGAGCAGGGCCCGGGCCCTTGCCTGGTGGGCTGGGGTCTCTTTCCAGTTGCTCCTGTGCACTCATGGGTAGTGGCTTCCTGCCATGTTTCCTGTCAAAAAGGGCGTTCAGGGCAGCGGTTACAGCCCTGTGGGAGGAATGTGAAAGATGCCAAGTAAGTTGGCTACAGACCCGGGCTAACAAGTATTTACACAGCGTCATTTTTATGGGTTGTTTTTCACTAGAGATGTGCACAACCTGTGGGAAAATGTAGTGAACGTCAGAAAAGTAGTAAAGGTGTATCTGTGCAAACAAATAGTTATTTATTAGGTAGTACTATTACTGTATTTATTAGGTAGTACTATTAATGTAGCATTGTGCATTTAGAAATACAGTACGACTTTCTGGGAAACACACCACTTAATGATGGTTATCGTGTCTCATCAGGAATTGTGAGTCTGTCATTTTTTACCAAAATTTAAATAGTCTCATATGTAAGGCATTATAATTTAAAGCTACTACTTTAATTTTGTGCTGATTTTGGCGGCCCTTGTGGACAAAAGCGGTAGTGTTTCCAAAGACCAAATTCCCTTTACAAAACCTCCCATCTCACTGCAGCAGGTTCTGACAATCTGACCACGCAGTCCTGGTTCTGGTTCCCCTGTTCCTCCCTTCCCTCCAGCTGGCCAAACAA